TTATTATTTTTTATTTTAAATTTTATAATAAATTTATAATAATTTTATAATTAATATAATAATTAATAACAAATTTATATAAATGTCATAATTCATATAAATTATCAAATATTTTTCAATAATAATTCATTTTTTCATAACACTTATATCTACTAAAGAATACACTAATGTTTAAGTATTGATAAAACATTTTCTATCCACAGTATGAGTTTATTGTGTATTTCACGGTGTAAACTTAAATTTTAAAAAAAAAATATATATATTTTTATTATTATTATATATTTATGTGTAACATGGATATAAATATGGTAAATATATATTATTTAAATAATTTAAATATCAATATTTTATTATTTAATAATAATTTAATAAGTGATGAAATGAAAATGTGTTTGAATTTCTTTAAGGAATTTCCTATTGATTGGGAAATGAATATTTTAAATTTATTACCAAATAAATATAAAAAAAAATATTCTTCGTTAATAAAATCTATATTAAAAGAAGTAAAAGATATATATATTAAAGATATGCAAGATTTTTTGAGTAAAATTATATTATCAAATCATAAAAAGAATGAAAATTACTTTCCTAAAATAATTTATACGAACTATAAATTTATAGATAATCAAAAAATTTTTAAAAATATTTTTTTAAAACATCGTAAATTATTAAATAAAAGATATTATCTTCATTTAGAAATAATAAAAATTATTATAAACCAAGCACAAGTTAAATTTCCAATAATTATTTGTAATTTTAAAAATTATCACCATTTTGGATTTATGTCATTAACTGATTTTCAAAATACGATCAACAATGATATAAAAAAAGGATCATTGACAGTAACAAATCAATTTTATAATGAGGTATTAAAAGCTATAGTAAAAAATAAAATTTTAAAAAAAATTAATAAAGAAAAATTACCTAACATTATAAGATGTATAACACATGTTTTTGTACAACAAATTTTAAATCTTATGATACGATCTATCGATCATATATTAAATATCATGAATAATAAATATTGTCCTCAAATCAAATTTCAACTAATTATGCAAAATGGTCAATTATTTCTTAGTCCTTCTATTAACGAAATATTTTCCGTATATCACAATATAATTGAAAAAATTAGAATAATTGCTCAAGATTTAATACCATTTGAGAAATGGTTTAATATAAAAATATTACATAAATATATTAAAATAAAATTACCAGATTCTTATATTCAAGAATCTCATAAGAAATTGCAAATTATTCTAGATAATTTATTTCAAAGTATAAACAATCATATAAAAAATATCATTGAAAAATTTTATCCTATTTGTACATCTATTTTAAAAAAAGAAATATTATCATTCATATCAGAAAAAATAGATTTTGATTTATACATTCAACATATACAGAAATATAATACTTATTTAAAAAAATTAAATGCAATGATAGAAAATACATATCATACAGTAGGAAAATTAGAACAATGCAAAGCTAAAGAATCTTTAAAAAAAGAATTTTATGATATTAAAAATATATTGCTAAATAAACTTATTATGTATCATCAAGAATTTAATCAAACCATTTGTTCAGATTTTGAAAATTTAAAAACAAAAGCATTAAATATTCCAAAAAATCCACAATTTTTAATTGAATTAATTGATTATATTTCATATGCATCACAAATATTAATGAAAGAATTAGAAAATAAAATACAATATTCAATATATATGTTAAACATATTATCAGAAATAACAATTTTATCACATAATCACATTCAATTAAATAAAAAAACTATTAATTGGTTATATGAAATTAAGCCAATATTTAAACAAAGTAATACTTTATGTGAGGCAATGAAAAATGAGTTAGAAGATGATATACAAAAAAGAATAAATAATTTAAACATTAACATTGACAATATTATTCCTCAACTTGATGTTTTAAATAATATGGATGATATAAATAAAATTGAAGAATATGTTGAATATTATAAAAATCTTCTTAAACAAATAAATCAAATTAATTATGAAATACAAAAAATCAATAAAGAAGAAACATTATTTAAATTTTCTGAAACTGAGTTTTCAAATGTGATTGAATTACATGAAATAATCATATCATTCTATGATCTTATTTATATTATTTATCAATGGCAAAGAGATCATTCTATATGGTTAGATGGCCCTTTTGAATATTTGGATATTCTTGTTATAGAAAGCAAAACATTGAATTATTTTGAAAAAATTACTGAAATGAATAAAACATTTAAAATAAAGATCAAAATGGATACAACATTGAACAAACATTTTAAATTTTCTGGAATTGCAGATGATCCAGATCCAATGCAACAACCTGCACCATTAAAATTATGTTGGCAAGCACTTAATAGTATAAATGATTTTAAACAATATTTACCATTAATAATATGTATGTGTAATCCGGCTTTACAAAAACGACATTGGATAGAAATGTCTGCAATATGTAAGTTTAATCTTATGCCTAATGCAGGAACTAGTTTAAGAAAGATTATTTCATATAATTTAATGAATGATATTGAGAAATATAAAAGTATTAGTATAAGTGCTAACAGAGAATTAGAGATGCAACAGAAATTAATGAAAATGATTAAAGAATGGAATAAAATTTCTTTTGAAATAAGTCTTGATAAACAAACTGGAATGAATATATTTTCTAATTTAAATGACATAGAGTTATTATTAGAAGATCATCTTATAATAATAGAAGAAATGAAAACTTCAAATTTTGTCAAACAAATAATTTCACTAATGACAGATTTTTTTATATCTCTTACTAAAATTCAAGAAATTATTAATCAATGGGATTATATACAAATATTGTTATTTTCTTTAAATTCTACTTTTTGTCATCCTAGCATAGAAGTACATTTATCGGAAGAATTTTTTTTATATAAAAAAACCAAAAAAATTTTGAAAAATATTCAAGATAAACTCTCAAAAACTCCCATTTTTGCAGAAATTAATAATACAATAATTTCAAAATCTTTACTTGATATTATTGAAACACTTGAATATATATATCAAAAATTAAAAAATTATATAGAAACTAAAAGACTATGCTTTCCAAGATTTTATTTTCTTTCTGATAATGAAATAGAAGAAATATTGTTTAAACCTTACAGTTTACAAACATCAAATATGTATATACAAAAATGTTTTGAAAATATACAAAAAATAAAAATTAATAAAGAAAACTATATTTATTCTATTTTTGGTGATTATAATGAAGAATTACATTTAGAGAAATCAATTTTACTTAATGTACAATATGATCATGAAGAGAAATGGTTGACATATTTTGAGAAAGAAATAAATTCCACAATAAAAAATAATATTTTACAATGTTATGAAATATTTAATAAAACATTTGCATACAATAGCATTATAAATTTTCCAAGTATGGCAATTGTTTGTTCTTTTCAACTTTATTGGACTAGTGAAATATACAAATGTTTTATGTCATTTGATTTTAAAGTTTTAAATTTTTTACATTCAAAATATATTAATCATTTAAATAGTTTAATTAATGAATTAAGAAATTATTCAATAAAAAGATTGAGAAATTTATTAATGACTTTAATTGTTATATTAATTCAACAAAAAGATATCATTAAATTATTATTAGATAAAAATATTACAAAATCTACAGACTTTGAATGGATTGCACAGTTACAATATTATTTAGTAGAAAATTGTGTAGAAATATCAACCTTTGATGTAACTATAAAATATGGATATGAATATGGTTATTACAAACAATGTATAATTAATACTCCTTTGACAGATAGATGTTTTCATACTCTTATGCAAGCATATAAATATAATTTCTTTGGAGCTATTATAGGACCACCTGCTTCAGGAAAATCAGAAACAATCAAGAGTTTAGCAAAAGCTATTGCAGTACAATTTCATATTTTTAATTGTACTAATATAATATCTTATGACTTTTTATCTCAAATATTTAAGGGATATCTTTCTTCTGGAGCCTGGCTTTGTTTTAAAAATTTTGAAACATTAAAAACTGATTTCCTATCAAGAATTACACAAACTCTTACTTCTATTTTTCAAATTATAGCAACAAATTTAAAAGTTGTAATATTTGAAGATTCTTCATTAAAAATAAATCAAATTGGACATGTTTGTATTATCACAAAGTTAGGTCTTTTTAAATATTCTTATTTACCAGATAATTTAAAAGTGTTATTTAGATCAGTATCTATGATG